GAGAGAGAGAGAGAGAGAGAGAGAGAGAGAGAGAGAGAGAGAGAGAGAGAGAGAGAGAGAGGGGCAGCGGCCTGCACAGTGCCCCTCTCTCTCTCTCTCGCGTGACTTAGTTTTTTACATTTCGTTTCCTTTCTTTTTTAATTTTTGTGTCTTTTTTTTTCTTTTTTTCTTTCGTTGTTGTTTCATTGTGGTGTCTTTCCTAATGATAATGGTCAGCAAGCAGACAGCAGGACCAACAAAATACAGCATACGAAGGAAGAAGGACAGGGGAAAGGGAACAACAGACTAATAGATACCGAACAGAGGGGGTTATGGGACCAAAGGGGTTCACGGCATAGACGGTTTATCAGATAAAAGAGGGCATCACACAAACCATTCACTACCTTAACTAAGGAGGGGACTGATTGTTGAAGCTTGAAACTCAAAAGTTCTAAGTAGTATGGGGTATTTCCCAGAGAACAATGTAAGAGAAGGCTCGCAAGTTCGCAACTGTGTCTCTCACTATTTCATGCTCTATAAAATGTATGATGGGACGCTGGACCCGCTTTCCTCACAGGCCATGCCGATTTCTTTTTTTTATTCTTCATAGCATCTGTACCTTTCCCGCGTGGGAAAATAGGGAAAACTGGCAGTTTTCCCAAACTCCTGAATATTCGGAGTTTGGGCATGACGACGACTGCCATTGATAAATCTGATCGGCGGCCGTCATTTCGTTTCGGCCTCTGCAAAGGTCTGACGCCTACCCGAGGCCCGCTATTTTCCCAAGAGGCAAAGGTACTAGTGGTTTAAAAAAAATAAATCGTTTTCTTCTTCATAGCATCATTCACAATTCAATGCTGGCTTGCCATTCCTTGGGTTCATTATTTTTCCTCTTTTTTTCCTTGTTCGTTTTGTTCTTGTTCTTTGGAGGTGTTCTGGACTGAACTTTGGGGTACCTCAGCACCTATAGCCATGTGACATGTTGAAATACTGACCCCTGTTCAAATCTAGATAATGCAAAAACTCATGACTCGCCTGCTATAAAACAACACATTACAACACTCAAAACTTCATCCCCGCTACAACCCCTCTGCCCTGGCTGCGCCAGAGCGCTCCGCGCGGTTACAGTAGTTGCAGACAGACCATGGGACGCTGGACCCGGTTTCCAGCACAAGCTTCACTACCGGGTTGAGATTGAGATGTCGTCGAGGGCTTCACTACCGGCCTCATTCATTTTCATTTACTTTTATAATTTTATATATAATATATAAGCTGCGACTTCATTTGGGAAAAAAAAAACAAAAAAAAAACTGTTCAGCAGCAGGGGCGTGGTCCCATTACCACCTTCCCCCGAACGCAACGCACCCCTCAGTTTGCCTGTATCGGGCCGGAAACATACCTTGTATACGTTCATTTTCAGGGTGCGTTACGTTCGGGGGAAGACGGCAGCAAAGAGAGAGGTGCAGTAAATTGAGATTGAACTGCTTTTCTGCATCTCTGCCTAAATCACATCCAGATTGAGCTTGATTCTATCCCCGTTGCTACTTGTAGTAGTGGAACCTCGGCCCTGGGGTGTACCAACCGAGCTAACCCAGTTGTTGCCGGCGTGCCCACCCCCGCGCGCCCCCGGCCGTGCGTAGTTCGTCTCGACTGCAAGAAGTTTATGTTGATGGATTTTAAGTTTGTTTGATTTGTTGGGGATTGCCGTCGTTCCCGGGTCTGCGCGGGAGAGGCTGGAGTGGTCCGTACGTACAGCCAGAGACGCAGGGCAGCCTAGTCCGTACGCCTGTACGGACAGTCTTGTCAGCGCGCCATTGGCGCGTAGCTAGCCGGCGTGGTGGGCTGTGGACGACATCCTTCCCATCGTCACTTTCCAGGTGAAAGAAACAAATTGCAGCGGCGGCAAGGGTTGGAGTTGCACGGCCCGGGGAGAGAGAGAGAGAGAGCATTGGAAATATCCAGATCGTGGATGGTGGCTGGATACGGTAACAACAGCAGGGGGGAGTGATTGTGTGGGTGTATTTGTGTGTGTGTGTGTGTGTGTGTGTGTGTGTGT